GCCGGTCAGAATGCTCACGACAACGAGATGCTATCGATTATCGAGGAACTTCGGGAGGCAGAATTCATTATAAATTAAGCTCCACCTTGGCGATACTGTCAATCGTCATTAAAATGTCAATCAACAAGTTTGGGTCATCGATTGGAAGAATGGAATCATACTATCACTGGAATGGAATAGTCAGAAATTATGTACCCGACAACGCTCTTTGTGTTGTTGGCACCAATTATGACGCAAAGTCGCGCAGCATTCGACGGGTAGCACCGCCTGTAGAGGATGACAAAGCTATCAACAAGCTGTACTTGCACGAAAACATGGCAGTTATAAAAAGTTGACAAGACGTATTCGACAAAAAGATGATTATGTTTCAAAATTTCGTTCAGAGCTTGAAAGATGAGCTGAATAAATTAGAGAACCGAATTCCGAAATCTAATGCAGACGCATCAATAGCTGGACGTTGAAACTATTTACCGACCGACAGACCGGTCAACCGACCGACATACCGGTCAACAGACCGGTCAACCGACCGACCGTTGCGTTGAACCGACCGACCGTTGCGTTGAACACCGATTTGATGTTTGATAAGACGTGTCCGTCAAGTCTTTGTGTCAGTGTCGAGTCACATATGGCTGCGAAGAAAACTCCCAGTACCGAGAAACGGTGTCTTGTGGAAGAATTGCATGCTCCGGCGAGTAGAAATTTTCCTCGAAGACGCGTCGTAGTACGCCATGTGTGGGTAACATGTAATCGTGATCGAATTCATACAAACAAACCTTAGATATATCTAGTATACACATATCCACATAGATTGGTTTGTTGAACTTCACCGCAAGCTTTCGCAGTTCAATGGCAACTAAGTTTTCCGAAATCACGCTACGTCCGGAGAAATTTGGTTTTGCGATCGTCTCCGCAACATATCTCCCTTTCCATTTTGTTACTGATTTTACATCGACGTGGTTACGTACATTCTCCATAGTTTTGACAAATACATAGTTTGTAGCGAGAGTTCTAGACTTTGTATTTAATTCGGTGTAATCGCGGAGCCAGGGTGATTTTGCGAATTGGAGGACGCGGTGTATCTTTGTAATACGAATACCATGTCGCGTGCATTGCTGCAGGTTACGATAGTGGATAACGTAGCACTGCTTATCGTATAGAGTTGCGAGCAGCTTGTCCTCTCTTTTGCCAGGTGGTTTGCCAGTGGGACAGAACGGCAGGTCCGCGTGAATGTCGTATAAACGTTGCGGATATTCTAGATCAATCGGGAGCAATCGAAGACACGTTAAAGTTTGCGACGTTGTCGACCCATCGAAATACTGCATATGGCAATGGTTGACACATTGCCCACTCATACAGATTATTCACATCAAAGTACATCAAGTACGACGATGCTTTCGATGGATCGTACGACTGCATGTACTTTATATTGGCTTTCGCGTATCTACCTGAACATTGACATAATCCGCCGCGGATACCGCGTTTGATAAACAGGACCATGTCGATATCTGTTAGTAATTCTAAATTAACTTTTGTATGCTTCAGCATGGCATTCCACGTAAAACTGGGCAGAGTGTAATAATACGCGGGATCGAGTCCGTAACTTGTGATACAGGTTTCACGAAAATTTTCAAAAATATCGGCCAACAGCTAGACATCTGTTTTCAAATACAAATCGCTATACGCGCCCAGCGTTTGAATGGAAAACGGTGTCCACACGTTCTCGGCGTGCGCGTACTCGCTCTCCGATACTGTATCACCCGTTCAAGGAACTGTAAAATGATTCGCGCGATTCCAAACATGATTGTTCCAACTTTTCCGCACAGTCAATGTATTCGTACGGAAAGATCCCCTTTCGCGTCAATAATTCGAAATCTTCGGTAGATAAATTTTGAAACTCGGTTCGTAAAATTCTCAATTTCCTTTTATCTAAGAAAGACGCTAATTTATTGAGACTGGTACTCAAGAATTTGTATGAATCGATGAATCTTAATTTTATACAATTTCGCGACGGTCCATTTGGATCTTCGACACTTTTTGTGAACGAGATGTATTTTTTTTTTTTTTATCGGCAATACACTGACGGCACCCTCGAAAGCTGTAGCTATTTCTTCGATAATAAAATACGAATCGTAACCGGACAAATTATGAAAAACTATGGGAATGAAAAAAGAGTTTTTATAATTTAGATTACAATTGGAGTGCGCGGGACCTCTGTACCGACCGGTTAGATGGCAATGATGCGAACCCTCGTATCGTTTTCTCCAAACGGTTTTTCGCAAATGTGACAATGCGTCGCGTTGCGAAATGCCTCCTGCTGTTCGCTCGTTAAATCATCCATTTGTATGTTATTTGATAAAATTGATTTAACAAAATGTGCCAAATTCTGTAATTCTTCGACGAACCAAGAAACACAATTCGTAACACGACGACATTAGTACACCGACAAGGACGAATCGTACGCGCATTGAACATAATATGCAATACTAAATACTTTATGATGCTGGTATGTGGATCTTGGTGCTTCTCGATCAGTTTTCTCCAGAATGCACTCGAGGTCGGCGTACACCACAAATGGAAGTCGCTCTTTCCAGATGTAGTCGTTGAAGCTGAGCCACTTGCTTTCATCATCTGGTAATACGATTGCGCATTCGTTCATCTTCTCGCAGTCTACGGTGTGAGCTTTCAGCTTCTCACTCGAACTAAAGTAGTGCAAGCATCTGCAATAGAAAGACATGAATTTTTTTCAAACATAACATATTTAAAAAAAGAAAAAAGAATTATTATATCCATACCTATCGTAAAAGTATTTTCGATGGTTCTTTTTACTCAATTGTGAGCTCACGAGGCGAGACAAGTTTTTGATCCACGCGAAATGTCCCACGCCGTTTGCTCCTTCTACATACAGCAAATTGACATGTCTCTTGTTACGTATACAGAAACTCTCCATTTTTAGAAGCTCGCATTCATTAACCTTATTTTATCTACCCTTCTGGAATTTGGAGCTCGGTCTCACTGGAGTGCATCCTGCAGCTGCATTCTCTTAATATCATCTTTGACTCGCGTTGCGTGGGATACTTTCTTATCTACCCTTTTCCCAGGGCACACAGCTGTCGTCTTCAGAGCAACGAAAATCCTAACCGTCAAATTTCCTAATATGGAAATCACTGGCAGTTCCCCACCAACATTTAGGGGTATATAAATCCACGATTTTCGTTGCTCGGGGGCTAGTACGAAAGAGTTACTCGTTAGAGACACATTGATCGTCTGTAAAGTAGCACTCTAGTGAGATCGGCCTTCAGTTCCTTTCGATCATCGTTACCATATAGATCCGCGAAGACGGTTTTAAAATCTATTACGGCCATAAAATTACTCTCGACCCCCGCATCGCCAGTGCGTCAACACCGCGCAACACTTAGGTTATCTTAACTTCATACACTAACCGCGACAACACGACACTGCACACTTGTAATTAGTATAGTAATTTTTGAATATATACTCTTTGTGTAAACTTAAAAGTCTGTAAGATCAATCATCAAACCTTTACTTTGAAATCACCAATCCTAGCCAGTGTAACGATCCCACAACATAATAACTTTACCGCTCGAGTTATTATTTTATTAAATTAACAAATTGCGAGGCTTTATTAACGACGCGTGTTATATTTTAACGATACGATTTAGTCATTGTGTACTCAACCCGAACTCCTAAACTTAATCTATCCTGCGGTTACCCTTTACTGGGAGATACCGATTCCTGCTAGCTATCTGACTTTGCGTCAGAGTCGTCTGCATTATCTACTCTATCCTCAAATCTTCGACTCCATTGATACATACTAATTAATCGTATCGGTGCAATTCTCGAAGCCACCCCACTCGCAGGGCTCACACGCGCGTCGCTATCGCCCTGGCTCGTAACACTCTCCATCTTCCGTGTGGCGAGCCGTATCGGTAGAACCATCTTTTCTTTAGTGGTGTAGACGTTGATGGAGATGCTGTTGGCGTGTTCAAACTTTTTAATTTGGTTCAATCATATCAATCCTGGATATTCAACACCGTTGAATAATGAGGATATACTGATGCCCGACAAGCGTTCCTTTCGGCTGGATGCAGAGCAGCCACTATTGACCACGCGAAACATGCATGGCCACGCACATGCAAAGAAGTTCGAGCATACGTTGATTACAGCTCTCTTTAGTTGTATTTCTCGCGGTAATTGTATGGTACATCCAGCATGCAGCGGCATATATTTATTCACGTTAACAATTAAATTGAGTATACGCGACAGCACCCATCCGCTATCCCGTTCTTGAAATTCTTCCAGCGATGCTAGGGTGAGTTTGACGACGCGTTGCTCATACCACTCTTCGAGATTGATCTCGCCAAAGATTTCACAGTTCTTCGTGCTGATAGTCTTGTTCGAGCGTTTATCACCCGCTACAAACTCTCCATTAAACGTGGTATTCACTTTTAGTGTCTTATGTTTCACCAATGCACCCCGTATATGCTCGAGCACAACGTCTCTCGCATCCTGAAGAAAGTTACGCGGTTCGATGTAGTGCGGATTTAAAACAACGCCGGTTAATACGCGGCTCTCGAACGCAGTGTCTATTTCACGCCACAAGAGTCCAGTGGTTGAATGGCCGGCACCTTCGTACACGAAACGTCTGCGCAACGAATAGTTTAGACTATCGAGACGCGCGATACGAGCGATCAACGATTGTTGAACGCCGATCCATAATCGAGGGCGTTTTGTTCGACTATGTTCTTCCAGCGACTCGAGCCACTCGTTGGATCGTTCTTCCCATGCAAGGTATTCTTCTTGCGAAGCCAATTGATCGCCCTGGTCCCACAATCGACTTTCCATTTCCAAGAGTTCTTCCATGGTTGCACTCACTTCTTCGCTGGGGGCCACTAAGAAACGGTTTGGATGCAGTTCAATCTGCAGCACAATTTTTATAATCTAGGTCACGTGATTTTGTCACATGATATGCCCCTATTATGATGCCACTTCCTGGAGACTTTCGTAATCCCCTGATATTCCGTATCGCTGTTTTCGTGTTTTCCTAAGAACGTCCATATATTTTTGGGAATTACACCACTGACGTATCAATTCATTAGAACGACTCCGCGATGATGAGGGGTCTTACTACGTATAAAAAAATTAGATGATGCGCTACGCAAAGGTGTGTATGCTAAAAATAAATGTGGATAAGAAAGTGAAATATGTGTGGGAGCGGAGATTTGCTGTTTCAGCATTTTTTTGTTCATCTGACAAAGAGTGGGGGGGGGGGTGGAATATAAAAATGTCTAAACACGTTTTTTTAATCATTGTTCGCAGCATCGTTCTATCGCCTCGTATTGAAACATCAGCGATGTGGTCCAATGCTGAAATCGCTCGAGCAACGTGAGTGAATCTTCCGAACAAGGAGTTCAACCAACCATTAACAAAGAAATCGCGCACACAGTAAGTTCTTTGACAACATATTGCAAAATATGCAGTCAAAATTCAATATCCTTTATAATTTTTTGTTTCTCTTGTCAGTGATAGCGATAATGTTCATTCGGAACGTAGAGTAACACGTGTGGTGCGTATACTGGGGAGGAAATATCCCCTGAAGGATACATTCTACAAGTATCTCAACATCGGGGTTCGAATCGGTGGTTTCTGTGACGTAGATCTGGCTATAGGAGACTCTCGTGGAAACGAAATTAAATTTTCTATGGATACGTGGAAAGATCTCCTACGAAAGAGGCATAACATTCTGCAGATTTTTGCTGATACATCGGGAACCTCGAGCGAGCCGATAAGCATTAATGATGTAACAGTTAAATTCCGACAACTAAACGACGTAAAACTCGCAAAACTCTCAAATTCTACCGTCTCTATGTTCATGAGTGAAAAAACCGTACAAAAGTTGTTCGCTTTCGAATATTGTATCGATCACATGTACAATTGGCTGTCTGAAAACTTGTATCTGGTAGAATCTAAGTACAACAAGTTTATAGAAATAATAAAAAATGCTGAAATTAAGGATTATGCAAAGGCAATTATTAAACATGAAAATTTTGAGCGTCATTCACTGATTGACTCTGAATTGTTAGCATTAGGTTTAGATGTAATGTTGGAATACAGTTATCAATAAAAGAAAAATAGCTTGGATATATGTGTCTTTCTTTCTAGCGCATTTCCTCCCATATCATATTCTCATCCGGTGTAATGTTTCCTTTGCACGTTCTCCAATATTCTCATCGCCAACGAATGATGTCACCTCTACCGTTTTTTTAATATCTAGTCCTTGAGAAATTGTATTGGGCAAATAAAAGATTTGCTGTCGGATTGTAATTTGCAAACTTTGCGTTTTTGGATCTTCTGCTCGAGGCCATCATCGCGAGACGTTCCTACCGATGGCTGTGTCAAGGATTGTAATATAATATTATATGTTGCACGGGGCATGAGTGCGAGGAAGAAAATATATGGGCGCGAGAGAGGGAACCCGCGGAGTCCGCAACGACGCCCCCACTGCTGCGCGCGAAGATGACGGTTCCCCTCCCTTAATTATTTACAGATTAATTATGTACAGATTTGAACTTTATTTCCTTTTTATTTATATATAAAACGATAGAAACATTAATAATAATGACATAATAATGAAATAGTATACATAATTTACATACCATAATTTAGATCATAAAAATATATACAATTTGGTATAGAGCTAAATTTTATTATTTGTCACAATTCAATTTATATTGTATTTATCCAATTTTATGCGGAAAAGAATCTGAAAGTAACTCACTCGACAATGCTCAGCAATGCTCGGGTAGGTTATGTTACGGCGTACGTTTGTTCCCCCTCTACAAATAAATTTGCTATAGGATAATACCGGAACCACCCATTTTGCATTTCTCTCGGACCTCCGTCGCCTCTACTTCTTCCTACAGGAGTTCACACTTCAGTTAGGATAGAGCTCAATGGATAGCACGAACTACCAAAGAATATTATTCTATAGAGCGGAGATATCACAAGCTGAGATTCCTTACTCCGCCGCAGGCGGCGCTGCAGTCGGAAATCTTCGCATCTTACAATACTGCGCTGACGCCTCTGTGTAGTACTGATAAGTTTCGTGTCTCCAATTATACAAACCTATTTTATTTACCAACCATAACTGTCTTTTGATTCATGCATCAAAGAAACATATAACTGCTTACGAATATTTACACGTATGTTTGTCGAACTCCTAACTTATACATGCTCATTCTGATTGCAATAAAAATTATGAAAAATGATCTGTGAAATTGTACTTCTAAATACTTTCTCATAATAAAGAATAAATTGAGTTCAATTTCAATTGTAACATTTATTAGCAAATATAAATATTATTATATTAACGATATATTTTATTATTCACAATTAGATTATTCACTTAGTATATTTAAATTATTTTAGAAACAGATATTACGATGATTATAATTGTCGCCCGTAAAAATGAATGATTTGCTAAACTACCGTGTGGTGACTGTATGAATGGTCTACTATATTTCTAAGATTTCCTGTAAATATTCCAAGTCTAATGCCTAATTTACCACGGAAACATATTTTGAGATCGATAGTGACAACTGTGGCTTCTCAGTATTAATTTAATACCATTTCAGACTCCATTGATATGGAGGTAAGGATTCCTTTGCATTTCAGGTACATAAAGGTTATGCGATCGTATTTAAATTTATTGAACGCCGTAAATATACACGTATCGCATATTCGGTAATACTAACTTCTTTTTTTCTTTTATTTGTAGCCTGTTACTAAAGTTCCTTTGCCATTAGAACCAATAAAGTCGAATCAGGTGGAGGACAGACGATTATGGGTGGGCAATTTAGATTTAAGAATTAATGAGTAAGTATTTATATAGATTGTTTATTTCAAGATAAGGTCATGATTGGGATAAGAGGTTTTTAAGTGAAACAACTTGTGTAAATATTACAAATGGTAGAACATTGATTGTCCGAATGTCAAATATTTAAACAAGAAACTATTGGGACATGAAATGAGACATATATTTATAGTGTGATGAGTACTATGCTAACAATGTTTTTTTAAATAATCAATGCACTATTGTATGTTTTTTTGTAAAATCTTGAAGAATAATATTGTTTCACCTATTTCATTTTATATAGTTATCCAATAGTTTGTGTCCTTATCCCAATTGATTTTTCATTGTCAGACTATTGTAACACAATACTTAACTACTAAAAAATAATGTTTTCGTTATATAATGGAAAAAATCTGAAAAAACTAACTCTTTATCTGTCAACTGGTACCAACTCCTAAAACTCGTCCAAAAACATGGTACAATTGAAAAGTTCGACCTCCTGTTCCACCGATCAGGCCCACAAGCTGGTCAACCAAGAGGATATGCATTTGTAACCTATAAAACAGTTCAGGATGCAGAAGCAGCCAAAGATGCTTTGCATAACTTGAAAGTAGGAGCGAAAAATATTATCGTCCGATGGGCTCATAGTGTGACAGAGGTAACTAATAAAATTATTAGTGATATTTTAATTCCTACAGACAATTAAACAGTATTTTCTTCATTTAAGTCTGATATGGATAAACCAAAACCAAAAATAGACATACCTGCTTTAGCTGGAGCTAAAAAAGAAGATAAAAGAATAAGGTAAATGTTCTGTTCAGTTATATTTCTATAGGACAAACGAAATTATTAATAAGTATTGTTTATATGGATACCTCTTTTTCAATAGTCGTGAAACAGCAATTCAAGCTATAGAAGCAAAGCTTAAATTGATGAAAGAATCTGAAGAAGAATTTGAACTAAATAAACCTTTGAATGGATCACCTGTAATACATTTGTATCAAAAACCGGAAAATCCAAAACCGTCCACGTCGACTCGTTACCATAGTCGAAATCACTATCACAACAATAAGCCTTACAACCGTTACAAACCTAGGAGATAATTTAAGTCCTTTTTTTTATTTCACAGTGTTGTAATTAAAAGTAATCAATTTATTTTTACCGACCAATATTTGTTCCATGACCATAGTTGATGTATTATTTATATTTTCTATTTAAACGATTCTTGTGTATTAAGTTCTTTGTACTATAAAGTTTTGTACTTTTAAGTTGGTTTCTTGTATCTTTTTCTACTAATCAAACATAATTCCTACAGTGATACAAGTACATCAAAGATACAAAAGTATCTTAAATCACTGATAAAGCAATGCTTAATATGTACATCGTTGTATGTGCATGTATTTTCATAATCTATGATATCTTTTTATAACAAACAAATGTATACATTAAACATGCATTTTAATGTACAAGAAAATATTCATCCTTCTATTAAAGAGTAAAAGATTAAACACGTATGATAAAAATGAAAAGTAACCAAATGGATATTAAATAATTATTGTACTAATTACTTTTATTATATTTACAACAGAAATTTAAAAATGATCTTACAAATCTTCTTTCTGCAGTTTTCTTGTTTTATTACGCATATGATATGGTAAAGGTACTGTTCCAGGGCATGGTACTTGATTAGGTACTACGCATATACAGCTTCTTAGACAGCCGATTCCAAAATTTGCAGAACTTTCTCTCTTTTCTTTAGATATACTTTCTTTTCTCAAAATTTCTTCTGATTTACCAACTACTTTTATGAGATGTTCCATTATATCTTCTTTATTTCTGTTATCTACATCAATTAGCATAGTTTTGCCATCGTCTGTTCAAAATTGAAAGAAAAATTTTAGCAAACAGATTAAGCAATCAATTTGAATTGATTTAAATTGTTTTAAATTGATTCAAGTAAAAGCAAATAGAAATTCATTTCAATGATCAATTTAGTTTTTCCGCTATAAATCTTTTATACATACCATAATAACATCTTACGAAAGGTGTTGGTGTCATATTTTTAAAGGTAATAACTTGCACCGATGGATTTTTATATTGAATTTGTGGTAGGTTCCAGAACACGAAATCCCTAAATATAAGTGATACTTATATCAAATATTCTAATAAATATATTAAAATTACAATTCAGAACAACAAAATACTTCAAAATGGTATTATTTAATAACATATATAAGTACAAAGATAACCTAAAACTTACCTAACTCCTTGATGATTGAGCCCGTGTGTATTATAATTAATGGAAAATATTTGTATCATTTCTTTTAAAACTAATTTACCAGCTTCTAAATAAGGCAGCGTCCTTCGTATAGGAGCCAGACCTATCATAAACGGCATTTTGGCTGTTTGTTAATTACAGTGATCTAAAGAATAAAATTATATCTTCCTTGTGGTCTTTAAAGATTTTGTTTTAAATTAAATATAAATTTAAATATGTATTATTCTTTCCGCTATCACATCATTATTTTTTTTTGAGGTGTTTCTAAGATTGTACTAAATAAACTAGAAATCTAAAGCACAAATTAACATGTATAAACAATGAATAACTACGTTATATAATATATTGTTATATACCTTCTTTCGGTTTATTAATAACAATTGCTTATATTATACTATTGCGCGATATAGCCAAATCTTTATAACCTTTCTTATGGATGAAGTATATAGATATGTAAGTTATACTTCGTCCAACGAGAGAAAAAGAAAATTCAAGTAGATCAAACCATGTGACTGCGACATAATCTCATTGGTGCTCATTGGTCTGTTGTCCAGAAATGTATCTTTTGGAGATATTTTTATTTATCTCGGTTTTATCAGGTTTTATGTGTGAAAAATGTATTATTCACTGTATGGATTACCTGTACCGTTGATACAGTCTATGTCTATTGTTGCGCGTCCGTGGGGTTTTATTTTTAAGGACTTAGGGTTTTTCTGGCGTTCACGCCGCACGTGACAAGATTATTAGAACTGCGTGCGACTTAGCCATGAGAAATGTAATATTAACTTTATTATAACTGTTTAAATATAACTAAATTAACACAAACGTTGAATTTCTTTACTTTAAATACAAACTTTTACAATAGACGTCTATACTAGTTAACGGTCGCTATGCGAGTGAGTATTAACAAATTGTTTTAAATAAAATGCAATAAAAAAAAACGAAATACCATAAATTCAAGAAAATCGTAGTTGGCGCTAAACTAACTTCAAACAGAACTGC